AACATAGTCATCTGATCCCATCATGGGAACAACCACACCACAACAGCTCAAATCACACAGAATTGTGGTCCAGCCAAGTTGACACACAGCTCCAACTATCACAATCACCAAGTAGCTTCCTGCAGCAGAACAGGGCTGGTGTTCTGTACACAACCCTCTTGTGTGGATGGTGAAGGCACCCTTCCCTCTTCACCAAGAATAGACAGAGCAGTGAGGTTGGCCAGGGATCCTACAGGAGAAGAGAGCAGAGCAGAGTATGAGAGTGATGGCACTCCTCCCCTGTGGGACTGAGTGCAAGAACAGGGCCTGGCAGGCAGCTCTTGTGTAGAGAATGAAGCAGCAGAGCAGGAGAAGTGTCTAGGCTCTGATGGGGATGCCCAAGCTCTGCTTTCTGAGCGCCACAGCTCATCTGTGCTACTCAGGCCTCACTTATTCTGTTCTCAGGTCCTTTGGGGGCAGTGATGGTTTGGTTTTTATGTACATTTACTCCTAGTCTTGGAGTCCCATGACTATTCCTACCATGTTGAGGTTGTTTGTGGAGACCCCTTCTTGGAGTCTAGAAAAGGAAGGACCATAGAATTGAAAGACCTGACCCATGGAATGAGTCAGAAAGGGGAGGGGGATATTGCATGGCTTAAAATCAGGAAGAGTGTTCATCAGGGTTGTATCTTTTCACCATATTTATTCAATCTGTATGCTGAGCAAGTAATTCGAGAAGCTGGACTATGTGAAGAAGAACAGGGCATCAGGATTGGAGGAAGACTAATTTACAGCCTGCCATATGCATGACACAAGCTTTCTTGCTGGAAGAGAAGAGGACTCTGAGCACTTACTGGTGAAGATCAAAAAATCCAGCCTTCAGTATGGATGACACTTCAACATAAAGAAAACAAAAATCCTCACAAATGGACCAATAAACGACACCATGATAAATGGAGAAAAGAATGAAGTTGTCAAGGATTTCATTTTACTTGGATCCGTAACTAAAGACAGTGAACGCAGGCAGTCAAGAATTGAAACAAAGCATTGCACTGGTCAAATCTCCTGCAAACGATCTCTTTGACTCATAGTGACCCCTCTAGGTTTCCGAGGTGGTATCTCTATGGAAGTAGATTGCCTAGTCTTCTTTCTGATGAATGGCTGGTGGATTTGAACATGTAGCCTTCTGGTTAGCTGTCAAATGTCTTAGACACTATGCCACCAGAGCTCCCTTTAAAGTGTTAAAGATGATATATGTCATTTTGAAGACTAAGGTGTCCCTGACCCAAGCCATGGTATTTTGAATAGCCT